TCGTTTTTCTGAAAGAAGTTATGAAGGAGGCCACACTGAAATACGATTGGCGCATCCGTACTACCGGTGGGCTGTGGTGTAGTGGTTAGTGTGATAGTCTCACAGGTAGATGCAAGTGTAGGTTCGAATCCCTTCGTATTTTCCAGTTTTGCATTGCCTCGATTGAGTTTAATTTTGAAAGTTAGGCATCCTGAAGGTAAATGCATGCCCGAATTATTCACAAAAAGGTGGGAATTTGGGAGAATTGATTTTCATTTACGCTCAAATGTATTCATTCATCACATTTCGAGTAAATTTACTCGAACAAAGCGAACAAGCCATTAATAGGTGAGTATGCAGACAACGCATGACTTGCACTATTTGACCCACAAATCGATACTCTAACAAGCAGTATCGCCAACCAGATACCTGTAATCGCAAAATGTTTTGTCCGAAAGTGGTGATTTCGCATCTTCTGGAGAAGTTCGGTCCATCTGATGTGACGCGCACTCCTAACAGGAAGGAGCAGAAAGTTTTAGACCACTTTACTTCAATTCTACGCGAGGCGGCTAACGGTAGCCTCGATGTCGAAAGCGATGAGTGCGATGTTATGGAGCTCGGACACTGACCCCTCGTGGTCTGCAGAAGATACCGATGAAGAGGACCTAGAAATAAAGGAACTATTCGCTTTGGAGGCGTTAAGGTTTCAGAAAAATTGGTATGTTATTCAGCTACTTTCAGCGCGAATTTATTTTACCAGAGGTATTCTGCAGGTCAAGGACGCCATCGAGTTTTACCGTTCATCAGAGAAAGGCGCTCGATCACTTTCATGCATGACAAACAGATTTCGTTTTATAACGAGTGATTACCATATCAAAAAATTGAGAAAAATTGAGAAAAGCCGTGAGTGCAAACCTAAATTAGCTGCTTGTAAGTTAACTACATAAATTTTTTGTAGAGGAGATCCGCGCTGATCGGGTGACACGCTTGCGAGCTCTGGCTTCAAGATTGAAGCCAGAGCTCAGTATTGCATCCAAGTTTGAGCTGGGAATTGCTTTGCACGATACGGGTATCAGAGCAATTGCCCTGCAGATAAATAGAGACGAAATGTGCACTGAGAATTTCAAGGCGAGTAACAGATGGATACAGGAATTCAAGAAACGATGTGGAATTGTCTCAAGGAGAGTCATAACTTTCGTATCTAGGAGGAATTTCATGAATTCTGACCGCCTTGCTTCTCAAGCCGAAGCATTTGTCACCGCGGTTCGAAGAGGTGATGTCTTCTTATCGCAGTGAGAATTATCTGCACGATTTCTATTGCAGAGTTAAGTGGTTGGCCTGTGGTCTGTAACACAGACCAAAGCGGATTTTTCAAGGAACTGCATTCCGCTAGGACATTGGCTATGAAGGGCTCGGAAAAGTCACAAGAGTAGTTCAGTCAACCGCGGCTACCACACACTCTTTCACTGTAATGCCAATGCTTTTTTTAGATGGAAGATTGGGAG